TGCATTGCCCATAGCTTTGTCTTGATCAGTAATAATTGCCTTCGGACATTTGCCAAACATACATTTAAGGAATTGCTCAAATAACCATTCAAAAGTTTCTTCTTTTTCGTTTTCTAGCAATGCTCCACCAAAAAGTATAGATTGCCCATGATGATTAACACCAACAAAGGGAGCAAATGACATCTTGAATTTGTTTGTCATATAAGTGACATCAAACACAACAACATCGTTAAATTTAGTATAGGTGTCTCTTGATCTTCCATCAGCCCAAAAAATATTTTTAGGACACCCATCATCACACAAATCCACAGAAAAGTATTGTTCATTATCCACTAAGGCTTTATCTTGGAAATGTTTTATAAGTCCATAGAACTCCTTTCCTCTGTATTGTTTTCGTTGCTCAGATAAGACATCAACACACTGTTTTGAAGTAACACCAGCTACGACTGAGGTTTTCATTCCATTAATAGCCTTTCTAACATTACAAGGTTTCAATCCTGCTTGACCTAGTTCCATCATAAGAGATTTGCATTCCATTGAACGATGTAACTTGTTATGAGATCGATGCTTCATCACCTTCGTTGGTGTCATGCTCATATCATGATTGTGTGTGTCATTAAACGAGTCTACAAACCATTTACCATCCTTATTTTTTGAAATTCGAAGTTCTGCTTTACATCCGAGTCTAACTTCTCTACGACGTTTTTTCTTAATTCCACTTGAAGCATTATCGTCTAACCGTTTAAAACCTTATTTGTCGCATACATATAATTTCCGATAAGGTTCCTTTGTCAACTTATGTTTAAATGTGGAATCACGACGTATACCAAATCCATGTAAAAATCCATAATCATTATAAAATGTATATGCATCATCAGGTGTATCGAAAACCTTTCCCACTATACTTTCATCCTTATGTTTGCCTTCATTACATTCTGCCATTCCGTTTGGTTCATTATTATCTATAACATGTGTATCAGTAGGTTGAGCAACTTCTTCATCCATCATGCCCTGAATAATTAAAGTAAAAAACACCATCAACAACTTATACATGAAATTGCTTATCAATTAAGCATTTTTTTCCGTCTCTAATCAAGTCTATTAACCATTCAATTAATTAGCATCGTTAATGCATAGTTTGATTCCTTATGAGGAGTAAAGATTAAAAAAAAGGAAATTAATGGAAGAATGGTTACACAAATGATCAAACTCCAATTCCAAAATCACCATTAATGTTTAATTAATGTATACAAGATTTTTTTTTTGGAAACGACGAATATTATTAAAAACGGACCTCGACTAGCAAGTAACTAGCAAAGGAACAGAATCACAAAAAGCGAAACAACATATTTCATGGAATTAGATACATTTATATTATGTTAAAATCAAAACGGAGAAGCGTTCCAGTTTTCCCAATCGCCAATTCCATCTTTGCCCCTGCACTTTATCCAAAAGAACACCAAAGACTTAATTGCCCCTGCACCATAATTAGGATTTTGGAATACTCCATTGAACACCCGATCATTCCTTAGTTTCCACAGAATCCAGATTAAGCCATGACAAATGCTAAGGAATCTATTTCGCTTCCTTTTGCATCTACCCCAATTTTTTGCGAAAGCTATTAAGTCACCAACTGATATGAAATCTTTCTGTTGTAAACCACACCATTTGAATATAGCCTTCCTGACCTCACAGGCAAATGGACAATGTACGAGGATGTGATATGAGCATTCCACTCCATTAACATAGGCACCACATTTGTCATTTTCTATGTCAACCCCCTTTGCATCTCAATCCCACTGTGGACGAGATCTTCATTTGTATCGCTCTCTATATAAAACAATTCACTTTGGTCGGGGGATATCTTGTTCCATTTAAAATTTGATACAACACGATTGGGGTATAGTGATTGTTCTAGTTTTTTTCTTAGTAGGCTTACTGTGAAGTGATTGCCGCTATCTATTGCAAAAGTCCATTGGTCTTCGCCAGGTTCCAGTTGTACCCGTGATAACTCAATTTTGAGGTTATTGATGCACTGCAGTTCGGTATCTTCAACCACACTGGATTTCCAATGGGCTTCAAATTGATTATTTATGATTCTATCAAACACAAATAATTTCTTTCTAGATTCAAGCTCAAAAAGGGAAGGGTATTTTTCACCAAGTGTAACCGGGCCTGCCCATCTATCATACCAGAAAAGTGTATTATCCCCGGATTTGATGTTTAGTTGAAAAACATCCATAATGTCCAAACCAAGTTTTTTAAGATCATTCTTGCTTGCTGCAATGTTGTTCCACACACCTCTTATTCTCTGGTTTGAGATATAATCATGTGGTTTACTGTAGAGATTGTGAATTCCTTTTACAACTTTGACCCAAAGTGAGTTCTTCTCAGTTTTTAAACGCCACCACCATTTTACTAGCAGACTAGTATTTAGGGTACGAATTGTTCCCACACCTAATCCACCATCAGATTTGGGAGCAACTACTTTGTCCCAAGATACCCAATGGATTTTCCTTTTGCTTTCATCTCCACCCCATAAGAATCTTCGTCTAATCTGGTCTATTTTTTCCGTAACAGCCCTCGGAGCTTTGAAGAGAGATAAGAAGTATGTGGGAAGGTTCGCCAGGGCAGAGCTGATTAATGTTAATCTTCCCCCGAATGAGAGAGTCTTTGATTTCCAAGAAGAAAGCTTGGATTGGCGTTTATCGATGATTGGTTTCCATTTTTTCTTTAAGTTTATATTTGCTCCAACTGGTACTCCAAGGTAATTGAAAGGAAGTGAACCCGCTTCACACCCAAGAATGCTAGCCCAGTTCTTAGTTTCTCTAACTGAGGCACCAATACCAAAAACCTTTGATTTGTGAAAGTTTACTTTGAGGCCCGAAGATGTATTGAAACATTTCAGAATGCTCGCTAAGTTTTTTAAGTTGGATCTGGACCATTCACCCACGAATAAGGCATTGTCTGCATAGAACAGGTGTGATAGGGTGGGGCCGAGATTAGGGATTTGGATACCTTTGAAGATACCTTTTTCTTTTGCTGCCTCAAAAGCTACATTGAGGCCTTCCATGGCTATGATAAAAAGGAAAGGGGATAGGGGATCTCCTTGACGGACACCTTTGGATATGTCAAACTCGCGTGTTGGTGAACCATTGATTAACACCGAGGCCCGGGATGAATTAAGGCAGCCACGAACCCATTGTCTCTATTTAATCCCATCTGTAGTAGTACCGAGTCGAGATACTCCCAGTTGATGGAGTCAAACGCTTTGTCAAAGTCGACTTTGAACATCAAAATCTTCTTTTTGGCTACCTTTGACCAAGAGAGTAACTCATTTATCATTAATGGGTCGTCTAAAATGCTCCTGCCTTCCACATACGCTGACTGTACATCTCCGATAAGGTCACCAATGACTGATTTAAGTCGTATTACAACGATTTTTGAGATGATTTTAGACATGCATCCCATGAGACTGATGGGGCGGTAATCTGTAAGGGAGATGGGATCATTGACCTTAGGGATCAGTGATATGAAAGTCAAATTATAGCCTCTTGCAAGGGTCCCAAAATTATCAAAGTGAAGAACGAATTGCATAACATCATCTTTGATTATCTCCCAGTAGGTTTTTATAAATTTGAAAGTTAGACCATCAGGTCCAGGAGCCTTATCGCTCCCACATGACCATACAGCGTCTTTAACTTCTTTTTTATAACTGAATGGAGCTTCAAGTTTGATTGCCTGCATCATGGAGAGGGATTTGAAATAAGGGCTAATGAGTTTAGGTCTCGATCTCCAATTTGTTTTTGAAAAACTGGAAGACTGCTTCTTTTACTTCGATGACATATGAGGTCCACTTGCCATTTAGCATTAGACCATGAATTCTTTTACTCTTGTTCTTACTACTGATAAAGCCATGGAAAAAATATTTTCATCTCCTTCAACATTCCATTTCACCCGAGCCTTTTGTTTTAGATCCGTCACTGCTAGTTTCTCCAATTCTAGTATCTTTTGTAAGCCATGATTCCTGACATCTAATTCTTGATCAGTAAGTGGTCGTGACTCAGCAGCCTTTTCAATTTTAGCTACCACTGATTTGATATTCAAAATCTCCTGTGTTTCTCCTCATCCGATTTTTTCCTCCATACTTTGATTTCGTTTTTTAGGAATCTTAATTTAGCAGCAAGATATGCATCCGGATTGCCATACCTATGAAACTCCCCCATGCTTTCTTAACAGTGTGGTCGAACCCGTCTATTAGTAGCCATGAGTTGAATAGTTTGAACGGTGGAGGTCCAAAGTCAGAGGATGTGCTAATTAAGGTGACTGGAGAATGATCCGATAATTCGTGTGGATGTGCTGTAACAGCTAGTGAATGGAAGACTTCTAGAAAGTTTGGACATGCCAAGAACCTGTCCAATTTGCTTAATTTTGCACCAGCTCTAGACATGTATGTGTAGATTTCACCCCCATCCTAAAATCTTGTAGTTCTGTCTTTTGAATGAACTTGTTGAAATAGTAAGCACTTACTGGACAAAAGTTCGAGTTACATCTTTCTTCAGCCCTTCGTACTACATTGAAATCTCCAAAAAAGGTCTAGTTACCAGGCCTTGCATTTTTTATGTTTGATAATTCGATCCATAGTTTCTTTTGTTCACCGAGGCTGTGAGGCCCATATATATTTGCAAGAATTGTATCCCTGTCGATTCTAATCCATTTGCCGATTATTATTAGATAATGTCTAGATTTAATGGTCTCCTTTTTGGAAAAGCAGTGCCTGTTCCAAATGGATAGTAATCCCCCTGATCTCCCACTAGAATTAACGCCTTCAAAATCAAAATCGTGGGATCCCCAGCATCCGATCACATCGATTCTTTTAAACTCGGTCATTTGTGTTTCTTGTAACCCTACAAAATTTGCTTTATGAACATGCTTCAGTTTCCTAACCCACTTGACCTTTGCCACTTCGCCTATTCCCATGATGTTGAGTGTCATGCAATTCATAGGTTACCAAATTTCTCTCCGGATTCTGCCTCAGTTTCTGCAATCCCAGGGTCGGTAGCGTCAATTTGGAACCCGACCAAATTTCCAATTGCAGCCGTGTCTCTAGCTTCTGGTGATTGAGAACTTTCATTATTCTCCTGTGGATTATTGTTGATAGGACTAACACCATCTCCGTTCAAGAGATTCACGATTGAATCCATCTCTTCATTGGAAAAATTAGAAGCCACCAATTTCGACATTGAGATGGGAGGATTTGAATTGGAATCTTGTATCAGGGAATTTGGGGAATGTAGTACTACCTTATCCCTTTTCCTTTTTTTTTTATATTTATGTCCACCGCCACTGTTTAGGAATCATTTTTATGGGCTTGAGGGGATGTGAATGAAAAAGGTTTATTAGTATTGTAGGGGAATGGCCCAAAACAACCTAGTGGGACTAACTTTTCCAGTGGCCCGATATTATATGTAGCTGAAGGCCCAACTTTTGGGGTGCGATCCATCATGTGTTTAACAGGAGCATCACGGTGTTCAATTGACCTAGAAAAGGCACTGGGAACTTCATGCGACGTTCCAGCATTAAGATCATTTAATACATTGAAACACGATGTCTCGTGATTTGGTTCCAACGGTGCATTGCTTGGAGACTTTTTGTTTCCTCCGGTTACCGATGTCTTCTTCACGGTCGCTGGAGTTTGATGATCGACCGGTTGGGCCAGATTTTCCGCCATGGCCTCTGGTCGAATTTCCCCTTCTTCTGGTTCTTCCGTCTCCTCCTCCATCCAAGTTTCAGAAATTCCTTCTGTATTATTGTCATCCTCGTCATGTTCATCAACCTTATCGAATGTGGTGGGTTTGAATGGAGACCATTCGTCGGTGTACTCCACGACACCAACCTTGAATTCCTGTCCATTTGAATTAATCGTGATTTCTTCATTGATCCATCTCCTTGATGAAGTGAGTACACCGACTTTTCCCATGGAGTAGTCTCTTCTATTCGCTATGCCATCAAATGAATTTAATAACTATACCATATCTACTAGTAATGATCAAGAAATTGTTTTCTTCCTAAAGTTGTAGAGGGACACCAGTAATTTTAATCCATGCTACTCTTTCAAACGCCATATCATACTGGTCTGCCATAGTCAACCACTTGAATCAATCTTGCCACCGACTTCTATCTTCTAGATACTCTTTTGCTTTTACTGACCATCTGAAATGTATCGTCAGTTTAAGGCCACCTAGATACTTCGTTTCTTCGTTTCTTCGTTTATGATACCAAGTGCATGGATATTGGCCATGTGATCGAGGCTGTGTGTTTCACCAATTAGTACTCCTTTCTTCAACCAATCTGTCATGAACGTGTTGGGATTTAAAGTAATCGTAGATGTATGTTGTTGGGATTTCTTTCCGTTAGTATCATTGATGAATTGGGCATAAGGTCTATTACCTCTTAGCTTCAAATAATACTTTTGCTCACCATGGTAGTTGTTAGTTTGCATATTCTTTCTTGGCACGGGCTGCCAGATTGGCTGTTGTTGTTGATGTTGTTTGGGTTTCCATTGATGTTTCGAGATATTCACCTCGAGTATATTGCCTCTACATTTGATGCCTTGTAGTTTCGACTCCAAGACTTCAATGTCTTTGATGCCGACATATCTAACGAAGGAAAAGTTTCTTCTGTAATAATCCTTTTTTAGTCCAAGATACACGTCCATTACCTTCCCAAATCTACTAAATGGCTCGCGTATCTCCTCCTTCTTTGTACCTATCAGGGAACCCCGTGACATAATAGTTTGCCAGTTCATTGTTCAACTGAAACATGTTCCTGTTCTTCCTTCATCGGACTTCCGTCCATACTCCTGTTGGTTGGTGACCCCTCATCTCTCAACTGGAATCAAATAAGGTTTTGTCTGCAACTATGTATACAAGATGGCTAATTGGAAAATCGCATAAGCCTCATAATTTTCTTCATCTGTAATGCATACAAGTTGATTAACTATTCAATTGATTACACCATTAATGCCTAGTTTGATTCCTCAGTGAGGAGTGAAGATAAAAACAAGAAACAGGAAATTAATGGAAGAATGGTTACACAAATGATCAAACACGAATTCCAAATTCGCCATTAATGTTTAATTAATGTATACAATATGCACAATTGAAAAATCACGTAAGCCTCATATTTTAATTCACTTATGTTTCTGATAACAAAAAAAGCATAAGTATGATATCTTAATTTCCACTTACAGCAAACAGCAACAATCAATTGAAAAGTACGACTCCTGATCAGCCAGAAAATAGAATCCGATCGATTGACAACAATGAGGAGCAAAAATCGATTAATAGGTTAAAAGAAAACAACTGATTGAGAATAATCAACAAAAATCTCACGTATACAATCACGTCCCTATGAAATAGTTATGGAAACTGCTTTTTTAATTAAAATTTAAAATAATCAGATTTGTGGAAATCAACCAAAAAGACGTAGTATTAGAGGTTAGGTACCTAAGCTTATATGAGGTTGTTAGGTATATTCACTTTTCCCTATATATATATATATATATATATATATATATATATATATATATATATATATATATATATATATATATGTTTTTTGATTTTAAAGGTAACAATATAATCATTTATATAAATTTATTTTTAACTATTTTTATTGTAAGTTATATTAAACTACTTATTTGAAAACTTCTAACGATTATACAAATATATTTAGGAAATATTTTAGTTAAATTGAGATTATAATTTAGTTTTTTGCATTTAGCATTACAATTTATCACTTTTAACTATTCACAAAATATTCATTGGGTTTTTTAAGTGGAACTGAAATTTATTTGTAAGTTGACACTGTAATTTTATATTTAAATTAACAATTTAAGTATTTTTCCAAACTGTTCAAAAGTTGTAGCTTTAAAATGATAATGGTTTACATACAACAACATATTAAATTAAGTATTATATGTTAAAAGTTAAAGACATAACTTTATAAGTAGAAGTAAAGATATTATTTTAAAACTGAAATTTCGTTTATTTATAATTACACTTTAGGTTTGATATTTATTTAACCTTATTAACCAACTTATAATCATTATTAGAAAGACACTACAGTTTATCATTTTTAACTATTTACAAAATATTTTTTGTGTTGTTTAAGTTAAACCAAAGTTTATATTTAAGTTGACCCTGTAATGTTATATTTAAATTAATAATTGAAGTATTTTATACAAATTATTCAAAAGTTGTAGCTTTAAAATGATAATGGTTTACATCAAACAATATATTAAAACTAATAAACTAAGTATAATATGTTAAATGTTAAAAAACATAACTTTTTATATGTAGAAGTAAAGATATTATATATATATATATATATATATATATATATATATATATATATAGTCTTTAATTTTGACCTGGACTAAATCTACAACTAAAATATGTAAAAAAGACCAAATTTATAACTTTTAAAAGGTTTAAAATTAAAAGAAAATAATAATAATGAAAATCGACATACCAGTTGGATCATTTTTACAAATTTGTTTGATTTGTAATATTCTCTATTCTTGGCTTACTCGGCCCATAATAATCAAGGTCCACTTTAATGTTGTAATTCATATATATTATTATGTTAATAATAAACGACATATTATGAAAAAATATCAGTTAATATGACTTCTTTGGATCAAAATTTAGTTACATTGTCAGAATTTTAGTTTTCTTCATGAATATCGAAAATAATTACTTTTGAAGTACATAACCTGTAGTCCATTCAAGAACATAAATTCCGGTATTGTTTACTAGTTTATAGTGATCATCGGTTCATTATCTCTACTTCCATTCGCATAGAATTACACTTAGTGAAGTTATTACATACATGAAAAAGAGCTCATGAAAGTGTTACAAGGTTTGTTTGCAATTATCAAAACTCAAGAGATGTAAAATGTAACATTTGTTTTTTCAAATTTTTGTAAAATTTATATTTTCATCAATATACAGCAACATCTATATTTTATCGCTTAAATAATAATTTGTTAAAAATATGCTTATGTCTATTATCAAAATGTGGAATTTTGTAGAGTTGAACATATGTAAAATCGAATATGTGTATTTGGTTGTAGAAATTTTTTTCAGTTTTTCATGAAAATTTTCCAATGAAATATGAAAATTTTAAAAACGTGTTTGCGACAAATTTATTAATCTTATATTTTTTCCACCATTTTTGTATTATTTTCTTTCAAATGAACAATTTCTATTATTATTTCACTATTACATTTGAATATTAATTTTGTCTTACATACACTCCATGTACGTAATTTCCGTATTATACAGGGACCATTTTTGTAGTTTTGCTAATATATGGACCATTACTATTATACACAGGCCATTTCTATAACTTTATCTTACACAACAACTATTATTATAATTGTGTCTTACACATGGAACATTTTTGTAATTTTGTTATCACATAGGGACCAATTATAACACTTTGTTTTATGATGTTTCTAATATTGGGATAGCAGGTTGTAAATGAATACAGTAAAAGTCTTGGGCTTTAAGGGAATAAAGTCTAGACCCTTCCAAATGTTGATAATGTTAGATTGGGTGATTTAAGCATTTGATTTGTGCTTTGAAGCAAAAGGGTAAAATGAGAAAAGTAATATATAAGTTTCTTGCACGAATTATGATTTTAGCTCGGCATATATTAAGTCAAAAGTAATTATATAGATTTGTGGGGTTTGTTAATACGTTTTTGTGCATATAAAGATCGCCAAAAACGAAGTTGAAATGAAGAAATTATGATTGTTCAAAGCTGGAGTGGAATTGGGTAAAAATCCATCGTCATAAGGTGACAAGCATATTGTCATAACGAGAGAGTCGTCACGAGGTGACAAGCATGTTATCACGATGTGAGAGCCGTCACGAGGTGAAAAACAGGCTGTCATGAGGTGAACGTTGTGCGGCCCAAGCCCATGGATTTTAAGGTTTTCAATGTATTTAAAGGTAAGGATTAATGTTTTAGGGTATTTACTTAGCCTCCATCACATCTAAAACTCTTTGGGAGCAACCCTAGCCTCCCTCTTCAAGATTTGAGCTCCTCTTGTAACAACCGTTTCATGTACGAACTAATCCATCATATTGTAAGTCTTTATTTTGGGTGGCCACGGCGTGGAAATGTTTTCAAAGATCGCGGGATTTCAAAGACCCACCACGACATGGCATCTGATTTTAATGAAACCCTAATTTCTGTGATTTGCACCCTATTTAAAGGAATGAGGAGGCTATGGTTTATTCACCCTCGGCCTCTATCACTCTCAAACCATCAGAAACCCTAACCCTTATCTTCTTGAAGCTCTTGGAGCTAATTTTCTAGCTTTTGGTGATTTTTAAGGAAGTAGAGGAAGATTTTGTGCAAGAGACCAACAAGCAATAATTAGAGTTATTTTGCTTAATACACTCTTTCATTGGATTTTGAGCAGAGTAAAGAGATTTGCAAATTTAGGACTCTTAGGAGTCCCAAGGAACTTATATCTCATAGATCTAAGAATTTGTTGTGATTTGGAAATCTTGAATGAGATTTGGGTCCCTTTTCCTTTTTTGACCTAGATTTGAGGAAGGACATGCATAGGGCATGCATGTCCATAAAGTTTACATTTTTAGAGATCAATAGGACCCCTAAAAGCTTTCTGGAATGTTTGGACTTGTATCTCATGTGATTAAGGACTCAATTGAAGAGTTGAACATCTTAAATGGCCTTTAGAACCTAGGTTTTGAGACCTTGCATTAATGGATAAAGTTGGAAACTTTATCCATTAAGACGTTGGGAAGGAGTAGATCTGGGCTTTTGAGCCCCTGAAAATGAGTTAAGAGTAGCTTAATTTGAACAATTCATTCACACTGGTCCCGACAGTGTGGCACTAGGTCACCACGACGTGGCGACCAGAGGCCATACGACTGTCTTGCCGTTTTGTGCCCATGGCGTGGCCAAGGAAGGCCACGACGTGGAGGAGTGTTGATGATTTGGACTCTGTCTTTGACCTTTGACTTTTGAACTGAGTTGAATTTTGGCCAACTCTTAGTTTTTAGGAAGTGGATTGAGAGTGTGCCTTGTATGATTGCCTAGGTAAGGTATAGCACCTATATTTCGGCATATATATATATATATATATATATATATATATATATATATATATATATATATATATATATATATATATATAGAGAGAGAGAGAGAGAGAGAGGGCATTAGCAGTTGAGTATCGACTGAGAGGCGAGTATCTTCAGTGTACTCACTGGATTATGTTTGTAGGATGATAGTTATCTTTGTGACACTTGTTGATATGCTTGTATGTGTTTGTTGTCTTTGGGACTCTTATTGATGTCATTATATGCTTAGTTGTAGGGGTGAAATAGACCCAATATTGGTTGAAAGATACTGAAAGAGTTGAAATAGAATCAGGGGTGAAATAGAACCAGTACCGGTTGAAAGATACCAAAGGAGTTGAAATAGACTCAGGGGGTGAAATAGACCGAGTACCGGTTGAAAGATACCGAAGGAGTTGAAATAGACTCAGGGATGAAATAGACCCAGTTTAGTTTCTGGCAGTTATGTATGTTTTGGTATGGGGAATTTTGGGGAAACTCACTAAGCTTTGTGCTTACAGCTTTATGTTTATGGTTTCATGTACTTTTGGTTCGAAAGGGAAGGACCCGACATGTTTGCACCGCCACCAGTATTCCACATTTTAGATATGATTTGTACTTTGATGATTATTTTATACATTATCAC